GAGAGGAAATGAAAAGGGCAAAGCTGGTGAGATCGGAGAAGCCCTCTCCCTAGAGAGGCCTTTCCCCTCTGTTGGGGTGACCTGACTTCTCTGCACCCACTCAGGCCTCCAGGATGGAGGCCATGGTGGACAGCAAGACGTGAGAGGCCTTGCTGCAATCCGAGAGCAGCTGAAGACACAGCAAGGCGCTTTGAGGAATTTGGGCTATATTCTGAGACCGGTGCAGACTCACTGAGGATGTGTCATGGAGAAATGATGTGTCAGCGGGCTGTTTTGTAACAACCTCAGTGACTTCTGTTTGAGGTTCTTAGATTTGAAGGGACTGAGGCTGGCATGGGGAGTTCGTTGAGGAGGGATGAGAGAACACAGACAAAGGGGCAGATCTTATTCCAGACCCACTGCTGGAAGAGGCCTATAGATAACCTTTTACCAAATGACACAAGGGGTGGCTACTGCTTGCCTCCTGTGTGCAAGTCCAAGGGTGTGAGGTCCTTGTTCTGAGAGAATTAAGGCAAGAAGATGTAGAAATTTGGGCTAGTGGAGTGGTTCAAGTGGTAGAGCGACTGCCTAGCAAGCATGAGGTCCAAAGTTCAAACCCTAGTGCCACCAAAAAAAAAAAAGAAAAAAGAATATGCAGAAATTTAAGTAGCAACAGAGATCCAAATGACTGTGCATGACCCCAGGGAGCTCCCCAAGGCCACACACTGGTCTTTGTTGCCTGCAGCAGTGGGCAGTGCCCATGGCAGGAGACTGGAGTCCCACCAGCCCATCCATCCCCTAGTTAACCTCCCACTGTCCACACAGAATGACTGTAGACACCCAACAATCTCCCTCTCCCTCTCTACCTGATCCAGGTTGGTAACTTTTTTTGCTTCAGCTATTTTTTCAGATAGGGTCTTGTGCTTTTTCCCAGCTCTGATCTTGGACCTTGATCCTTCTCTTCATGTATCCCACAGAGCTGGGATGACAGATGTGTGCCATACACACCTGGCTTGTTAGTGAGATTGGGGGGGGGTCTCACTAACTTTTGCCCAGGCTGGCCTTGAATCTTGGTCCTTCTATCTCTGCCTCCTGTGTAGCTGGGATTACAGCAGTCTGCTACCACAAGCAGCCCTCAGGCAAGTTTTCAAAGCTCAATCATGAAGAGTGTGTCTGTTAGGTTACTATCAGAAGAGGACAGTTATTACAAAAACACGGTGGAAAGATTGGTACTTCACCCTGAGTTTCCTCGTGAAAAGAAGAGGCCATGGTTAATGTCTTAGGCTTGGGTCTGGGAATCATAGGTTTCTGTCACAGCAGCATGCTATCTGTGCTTGCTTGTAGGGACCCTCCTTGGCAAGGCCAAAATGGAATATGGGGTGAAGCCAGGTCTCCCCAAGACCCAGGCCTTTTTGGCACTGGAGCCTTGTAATTTTCCTCAGCGTTAGCTCTTGCTCCCAACAGGGAAGCTGGCCTTATCTTTCTGTCGATATTAATTTCCTTCTCAGTCATCAGATGGCATTTGGAACCTGCTGTGCAGTTTACAAAGCATATGGGAGTATGTCAGGACCAGCCCCGGGCGGGGGTAGTCACGTCCGTGATGACCACCCATGGGGGTAGCCCAGACAGCCCAGCACCCAGAGTTTTTGAAGTCTCCTTGGTGAGGCCCCTGTGGGGGCCATGGGCTGACACAGCCCCTAGCTTTGCCCTGACAGTCTTGGTGCTATGGCGAGCTCTGTCATTCATGTCCACATCCTGGCTCCTTGGTGTCCCTTACTACTGCTAATGGGGCTATTTCTGTTCCCGATGTAATTCTGGGGAAGCTAAAAAACAGGCCCAGGGTGTGAGCTTAAAACTGACTCCGAGGTGATGTCCAGGAGAGGACAGCTGTGATATCTCTCCCTGTCTACACTGGCTGTGCCTCCCCTTGGTCTCAGTGGTAGGACCATGGAAAAGTCACATGTCTTCCTCTTCCTTTCTCAGACTGGCCGTTCGCCATTAGAGCCCCTCTTGCACAGGAACATTGTGCATTTCTGCAGACCTCACTCTCCACTGGCCCTTTCCACTTGCTCTCTGCAAGGATTACAAGAAAAGTGTCAAGTCCACCAAGATACTCCGACTTGGGCAGACCGTGTGTCCCCAGCTAAGGTGACCAGCCAGCAGTCCCCTATATTTGCTCAGGGTTCAGTGGATTCCAGGACACAGATCTCGGTCACTGTACCCCAGTGCCTGTCCTCCATGTTGGCTGTGCAGAGAGTTCGTGAGCCCCGATTTCTAGAATGTGCTGTGGGTTGAGGAAAGCTATGGGGAAGAGGGAGATGCCTTTTCTTCCTTTGTCTCTTTCTTTTCCTGATCATTTTCCAGTTCCTTTGTCACTGTGGAGCCTCCCTGTGCTGCTCTGTATTTCCTTATTCCTTGTGGCCCTGGCCCTAGTGAAAGAGCTCTAGCCATGTTAATTTGTCATCTCTAAGTGTATGTGACCTCAAACTTAAAGTTCCCCCAGCACTTCACATCTCAGTGACCAAAGCAGGGTCCTTTCTTCTGGTCATTTCTAAAGGATGTTTCATGGGTACACCAGGCATGAGACTCTTGCTTTGTAGATTACAGGCGCATGTCAACAGAAGGGTCCCTTTGCCTACAGCTAGATCACAATCCCATTCAAGTTCTTGTTCCATCAGTGTTGGAATGTCACTATGTGTTTTAGCTTAAAAGTCTTGGTTCTCAGCTGGGTGCCTTGGCTCATGTCTGTAATCCCGGCTACTCAGGAGGCTGCGATCAGGATAGCAGTTTGAGGACAGTCCAGGCAGAAAGTTTGCAAGAGGTCTCCTTGACCAATAAAAGCTGGGCGTAGGGGTGCATGCCTGTCATCCTTGCTGCGCAGGAAGCCTAAATAGGTGGTGCATAGTTCAGGTCAGGCCAGGCATAAACATGAGACCCTCTTTCCAAAATAACCAAAGGAAAAAAGGGCTGATGTCATGGCTCAGGTGGTAGAGCACCTGCCTACCAAGCATGAGGTCCTGAGTTCAAGCCCCCTGACTGCCACAAAAAAGCCTCAATGCTCAAAGAAGAACCCATCACAATTGATCGGGAAAGGAAGGTATCTATGGGAGGCGAATTCAAGGGAATCCGCTCGCTTTATTTGTTTTTCACTTTATTTTTCTGATGGGAGATTCACCAGAGGCAGATATTTAAAATTACTGAATTCCACAGTGTTCTTCCTTTTATAAGAACTTAAAAAAAAAATGAACCTTGCAATTAGCAATACAGCACTCAGGCCACTCAGCACCCTGTCCTTTTGAAGGAAGCAAGTATACTGGGTCCGTGGTTCCCCACAGGTGCGTGGAACAGGTGCATAGTCCCAAGGCGAGGGCTGTGGAAGAAAACCACGTTCTCAAGACACTGAGAGCTCAGGATATTTAGTGCTCAGTGCTGTACTGGATTTCTTTTTCCCGTAACTGCCCAACTTCCACAAAAGGCCTGTCGCCTTGCGACAAATCTCAGAGTTTTCATTTGTTCACCTCAATTAGGCACTTTCATTCTAACTTGCATTTTGGCCATCATTCGCTTTTTGGAAGGCAGATTTTTCACAAAATTCAGGGCAGCGAGACACTCAGTGGATCGAACACAACCTCTGAATCACAAAGGAGCTTGACTGAGCGCTCCAAGTCCACTGAGCTGCAGGACGTGCATGGGAATTTGACACACGTTTCTGAAATTTCTTATTTATTTAATTATTTTTGATCGCGCTTCCTTAAAACTGTGTGTAATAAATCCTCAAATATGGTGTTCTTCCTGTGTTTAGAAGCTGACAGGGCAAGGTCATTTCATTCCCTTTCTCCTTTGGCCTTTGAAATTGTTCCTCATCCACCCGGGTGTTTGCAAAACCATCAGGTCTTACTCAGCTCATGGTACCACCTGAGTCACAGAATACAAAAGAATGGGGAAAAAAAAATCACTGGGTCCCATTAACATGAATGGGCTTTGCATATTCTAGAACCCCAGCTGCCTGGCCCTGGCCTCCACCTGCTCAGGAATGTGTACTGGATTTCCATCACTTCAGTTCCATTGCCTCCAGAAAGACAGGATCCCCACTGGATGCTCAGGAAGCTCAGTAAATATTGACAAAGTAATCTAAAGAGCAAACACTTTGACATTTGTAAGGTCCATTGGAAGGTCTTGTATATATTTATACAGCAGGAATGAACACGGCATACCAAATTTCCTGCACTTGTTCTGACATAATTCTGCATGGAGTTGTATGTGTGTGTGCGCGTGGGTGGCTGACCATGGCTGGGCGTCTACTTGGGGGAGATGGGGCCAGCCGACATGGGGTGGGAGCAGGTCAGGGTCTTCCCTCTCAACCAGAATACACTAACCCCTGTCCCTACTAGGAAGCTTAACTCTGGAGGTTATAGGAGACTTGCTTTTCCAGAAGAAAGAAACCACCAAGCCTTGTTTTTAATTGAGTACACTTAGTGTAACTTTCTTTTTTCCTTCATAAAAATATTTTGTTGATGCTTTTGCACCTTATATTTATTAAAGATTGAGCCTCAAAAATGTAATGAGTAAAAAATGCTTGCTTAATTTCAATAGTGAATCTGTCTGGTAAGAACTGCATTAGGACCAGGAGAAGCATAAGACATTAATTGACAGACAGGAACTGTTGTCTCTGAGGTTGATACAAGTAATTTATTATTTCAGAAGTGAATGCCACCTGCAGAATGTGCTTCATTAATTTCAAATTTAGTTTTAATTTCAAGCTGTTGCCCCTTGAGAAGAATAAGGTGGCAAATTATGTTTGAAGAGCAGATTTTTTTTGTTGTTGTTCCAAAGAAGCACCACATTTTAACTATTTAATTTTGCAAATAAATGTGCCCACCTCCTTCACTGCTTCTGTGAGACCCAAGAATGTAGTCTATCTCTGATCAATGCTTACTAATGCTTCTTTCTCTCTCTCTCCTTCTTCTTTCTCTCTTCTTTCTCCTGCCTGTGTCCCCCGTTCCCACGTGTTATCACGGTAGCCTATGTTTCTGATGAGTTAAAGGCGGCTGCCCTGGTAGAGGAAGACATAGACCCAGAAGAGCACACGACAGATGGCGAACCCTCGGCCAAGTACATGTGCCAGGAGAAGGAGCTCACCAAGACTTGCCCCAGCTACCAGAACTCCCCGGCGGCTGAGTTTTCTAGCCACGAAATGGACAGCGAGTCGCACATCAGTGAGACCAGTGACCGAATGGCTGACTTTGAAAGCAGTTCCATCAAGAACGAAGAAGAGACCAAGGAGGTCACAGCTCCCCTGGAGGACACAACCGTGTCGGACAGCCTGGAGCAAATGAAGGCCGTGTATAACAATTTCTTGTCCAACTCCTACTGGTCCAACCTCAGCCTCAACCTGCACCAGCCCTCCTCAGAGAAGAATGCAGGTGGCAGCAGCAGCAGTAGCAGCAGCAGCAGCAGCAGCTGTGGCAGTGGCAGCTTCGACTGGCACCAGAGCGCCATGGCCAAGACTTTGCAACAGGTGTCACAGAGCCGGATGCTGCCCGAGCCCAGTCTCTTCAGCACCGTGCAGCTGTATCGCCAGAGCAGCAAACTCTATGGATCTATCTTTACGGGAGCCAGCAAGTTCCGCTGTAAAGATTGCAGTGCTGCCTACGACACCCTGGTGGAGCTGACCGTGCACATGAACGAGACCGGGCACTACCGCGATGACAACCACGAGACGGATAACAACAACCCCAAGCGATGGTCGAAGCCTCGCAAGCGTTCCTTGCTGGAGATGGAGGGGAAGGAGGATGCACAGAAGGTACTTAAGTGCATGTACTGTGGTCACTCCTTCGAGTCTCTGCAGGACTTAAGTGTGCATATGATCAAAACGAAACACTACCAAAAAGTGCCTCTGAAGGAACCCGTCACACCTGTCGCCACCAAAATCATTCCCACCACTCGGAAGAAAACATCCCTGGAGCTGGAACTCCCAAGCTCCCCGGATTCCACTGGTGGGACCCCCAAAGCCACCATGGCAGACACCAGCGATGCACTACAGAAGAACTCCAACCCCTACATTACACCAAATAATCGGTACGGCCACCAGAACGGGGCCAGCTACGCGTGGCACTTTGAGGCACGGAAGTCACAGATCCTGAAGTGCATGGAGTGTGGCAGCTCCCACGACACACTGCAGGAGCTCACAGCCCATATGATGGTCACCGGCCACTTTATCAAGGTCACTAACTCAGCCATGAAGAAAGGCAAGCCCATAATGGAGACGCCTGTCACACCCACCATCACTACCTTGCTGGATGAGAAGGTACAGTCGGTGCCCCTGGCAGCCACCACTTTCACATCCCCCTCCAACACACCTGCGAGTGTCTCCCCAAAACTAAATATAGAGGTCAAGAAAGAAGTTGACAAGGACAGAGCGGTCACAGAGGAGAAGCCCAAGGAAGAGAAACCCAGCGAGGAAGAGGAAAAGTATGGCATCTCTTCCAAGTACCATTATTTGACTGAAAATGACTTAGAAGAGAACCCCAAGGGTGGTTTGGACATCCTGAAATCGCTAGAAAACACGGTGACATCCGCCATCAACAAGGCCCAGAATGGCACCCCCAGCTGGGGGGGCTACCCCAGCATCCATGCTGCCTATCAGCTCCCTAACATGATGAAGCTGTCCCTAGGCTCCTCTGGCAAAAGCACACCCTTAAAACCCATGTTTGGGAACAGCGAGATTGTGTCCCCCACAAAATCCCAGACCCTGGTCTCTCCACCCAACAGCCAGACCTCCCCAATGCCCAAGACCAACTTCCACGCCATGGAAGAGCTGGTGAAAAAAGTCACCGAGAAAGTTGCCAAAGTCGAGGAGAAAATGAAAGAACCAGAGGGCAAGCTCTCTCCTCCACCCAAGCGGGCCACTCCCTCCCCTTGCAGCAGCGAGCTCAGTGAGCCCATCAAGATGGAGGCAGCCAGTGACGGGGGCTTTAAAAGCCAGGAGAGCAGCCCCAGCCCCCCGAGGGATGGCTGCAAGGAAGGGAGCCCCGTGGCAGAGCCGGTGGAGAATGGCAAGGAGCTGGTGAAACCCCTGGGCAGCGGCCTGGGTGGCAGCACGGCCATCATCACTGAGCATCCTCCAGAGCAGCCTTTTGTGAACCCTCTGAGTGCCCTGCAGTCAGTAATGAACCTCCACCTGGGCAAGGCGGCCAAGCCCTCGCTGCCAGCACTGGACCCTATGAGTATGCTTTTCAAGATGAGTAACAGCCTGGCTGAGAAGGCAGCCGTGGCCACCCCGCCACCCCTCCAGGCCAAGAAGGCTGACCACCTGGACCGCTATTTCTACCATGTGAGCAACGACCAGCCCATAGATCTGACGAAAGGCAAGAGTGACAAAGTCTGCTCTTTGGGTTCAGGGCTTTTGTCCCCCACGTCCACATCCCCGGCAACCTCCTCAACCACGATGACAACGGCGAAGACATCTGCCGTCGTATCGTTCATGTCAAACTCGCCTCTGCGCGAGAACGCCTTGTCAGATATCTCTGATATGCTGAAGAACTTGACAGAGAGCCACACGTCAAAATCCTCCACTCCTTCCAGCATCTCCGAGAAGTCTGACATTGACGGGGCCACCCTGGAGGAGGCCGAGGAGTCGACGCCCGCACAGAAGAGGAAAGGCCGCCAATCCAACTGGAACCCCCAGCACCTGCTGATCCTCCAAGCCCAGTTTGCAGCCAGCCTGCGACAGACCTCGGAGGGGAAGTATATCATGTCAGACCTGAGTCCTCAGGAGCGCATGCACATCTCCAGGTTCACCGGCCTCTCCATGACCACCATCAGCCACTGGCTGGCCAACGTGAAGTACCAGCTTCGAAGGACAGGAGGAACAAAGTTCCTTAAAAACTTGGACACCGGTCACCCCGTGTTTTTTTGTAATGACTGTGCATCACAAATCAGGACTCCTTCCACGTACATCAGTCACTTAGAGTCACATCTAGGCTTCCGGCTACGAGACTTATCCAAATTGTCCACCGAACAGATTAACAATCAGATAGCACAAACCAAGTCACCATCAGACAAACTGGTGACGTCCTCCCCGGAGGAGGACCTGGGGACCTCCTATCAGTGTAAGCTGTGCAACCGGACTTTTGCCAGCAAGCATGCAGTTAAACTTCACCTTAGCAAAACGCACGGGAAGTCACCAGAAGACCACCTTCTGTATGTGTCCGAGCTGGAGAAGCAGTAGCATCTGCTTCCCATGCACAGGACTGTGGCTTGCTTAGAGGGACACTGTGGAAGGCACGTTGAGGCCCCCCGTCTTGTTCTTGGCACACGTTCTTACGTTAACTGCAGAGACTCACTCTGGGCTGGACTGTTTTGTATAACTGTACAGTATTTAATAGAGGTGCATAATCGGCTATTGTTACTGGTAAAATATAAAGGTTTAAAACGCAGTGGTAAGTGTTTGGAACTTTGTGTAAATGGGATTTAGTGTGAACCCCCTTCTCCCTCCTCCCCCCACCCCGATGCTTCAAGCTGCATGCATTAACAGTTTAATTAAGCATTTATAATAAAAGCGGGCACACTTTTTCCACGAGACTTGAGTGTGCTGGCGTTTCTCACCCCTTTCATCTTTAGCCCTCTGAGTACTTTGAAAGCACTTTTGCATTAATTTGGTTAAAAAAAAACAAAATAATAACAATAATAATGTATGAAGCTCTGTTTTTGAAACTCCTTACCAGCTTGGTTAAAATGAATAATAATACAAACCTCCATTTATGCAGGTCTGCAGGGGTATAACACGCCTTGAAATTTAAAAGAACATTATTTTCACATTGAAACATAGATGTATATATTGTATAGATTCCAGACTCTTATGGAAAAATGTGATTGTGGTTAAATGATCTTTTTCTTTTTTTTTTTTGCATTTATAGAAACAGTGTTTTATGTTCCTGCTATGCGCTGGGCAGAAGCTGTGCCTATGTAATATTGTATATTTCCTTTTCTTTTTCTTTTTTAAAGTCTATGGTTGTTTTTTTTTTACATGGAAACATTGTAAATTATACAGAAAATACCACAGATAGCATTTATAAAGTATACAAAAACATTATTGCAAAGCAAAGTATGATTGTTTGTTTTGCTATACAGTACATCTATATTGATAGAGGTTCATGTTTAAATTATACGTATTTATTAGTGTCATATTAGCATTTGTTTCGAAGCCAGGAAGTCCATCCCTGGCAGGCATCAGAAACTATTTTGCACATGATTTTTAAAGGTATTTATTAGAAATTAAAGAACGCTCAAAATCAACTCAGTGCTCAAAGGGTTAAGTCTATTTGAAAAGGAAAAAAAAAAAAAAACCAGAACAACAACAAAAAGAACTTGTACTGTATTTCTTAAACATTGATCAAGCCTTTAAAATGTTTGTACTGTAATACTTTGCTTAAAAAAAGTCACGAGGCGTTCTGTGATTTCCCACCTATCTTGGTTGTGATTTCATATTGTATGATGCCTTTTTATTTCCATTGGTAACTTTGTTTTGTTCTTTCTAATTATTCTCCCAAGATCCCACACTGCAGTTTTATCTTTAGGTTTATGAAAGGTAACCCCTGGTTACCAGCTCTCCAAGTCATTCCGTTCTCCATTTTTGGCAGTTTATTTGCAGTAACTGACAGCTGACGCCATATGAGAACCTATGTATAAAATATCGACATGTAAGCAACACAGACACCGAACATACTCTGTGCCCTGTTTTGTTGTTGACAATGAAACACCATTATGTGACTCTTCATATAACCCTTTTTTCTACGGCAGCATTAAAATTGTCTTTTTTGCTATAATTTTGTGTTGCGTTCACAATTATGTCTGAAATGTGCTACAGCTAACAGGCACATTAAAATTAAATTGTATGCGATCTGTTTATGCCTGAGTTGGTTGCTGTGTCTGCCAGGTGCCGGCAGTTGGAGGCCACACGTAAATCAGGAGAGTTTCTGTGAACTTTGGTGTTTGCAGAGCAGAGAGCACTTAGAGAGAGGCGGCTGGTTTAGAATTTCCCCCAGGAATAAGAATTGGAAAGAAAGGAAACATGCACACTTGAGCTTAGACTTCCTGTGGGGAGGGGAGAAAAAAATGACATTCTAAAATTGCTGACTGTCAGAGCTTCTGGTCACACACAGGTGACCCTCTCTGGAGGCGCTTGGATTTCGTCTCCCTTCTGGATGCATAGAAGTCATAGGGTCCTGAAATTGATAGAGAAAGATTTGGGAGCTTCTGTGCATGGTGCTAAATTCCTACTGACTTAGGGTTTCTGAATAGCAGCAAGCAGAGCCTATGTTGGGTGTTGGGATTTTGGAGTCCCCGGCTCTTCCCTTGTGCTAAAGCAAGCAGAGATAACAAGCTGGGGGAGCGGGTACAGGAGGAGACTGAACCCATCCACGGGAGGAGGGGGAGCCATTTATATGATAATCACAAGCTTTTATTGGGCATTGGCAAATCATGCCAACAAACCCTGGGAACATGTTGTAAAATTGTAAAATACCTTTATTGCTGTATTCAAACTACTCTTGCAATTTTGCAGAATCGGAGCTGCTAACCTAGAATTATACAAATGAGAGATGTGTTCCATTCGTGTAATACATAAAACACCTCAACTTGAAGGAAAAAAAGTACTCTTTTATTAAAAATTTAAATTAAGTCCTTTCTGAGATGTTCGGCAACACGCCCACAGTTTCTCTGCTCTTCTCCACCCCTTTTTGTCAAGACAAGTGCAAGTGTTCCCTGTACTCTATTTTCTCTCAGCAATCCATCTCTCCCTCTCTGAGATTTTTAGAGAGAACCTCACTGGAGTTTAAAATGGGCTTTTTGGCAGGTAGTGTGGTGCCATTCTGCTCTTGCCTTGTGATGCGGGCACACACGGGCTCTCCGAAGAGTGGCTGGAAAGAGCTTTCTCTGTGGGTTCACCATAGCCATCTCCACTGTGGCAAGCCCTGTCCCTCTCTGATCAGTTCTTTGCCCTGCCTGCCTCTACCTGGGAAGAGCTCAGGGATACATCCATTTCCCTGGGGGATCATCTCCCCCTCAGAACCTGGCTCAGGGGACAGACACCCTCCCCTCCCCCCCACCCCATGCCTTTCTTGCTGTCACATCCCAAAGCCCAGATTTTCACTCTTGAATTTTTCACAGGTTAAATATAGCATCAGTTTATTAGAATCCAAAGTCCTGCATCTAACAGATTAAACTGACAACGCTTCTATCACCATGTGGCTTGAAGGGAGAGAGGGGATTCGTAATATTGATGGCAGTCCTTTCTTTAGAGTTGGAAGACGGACCCAGTGGTGCCCATCTTCTCCTCACCCCACTACCCAGGATTATCTTCAGGGCATTTCCATTTGGGGGAGGGGGGAAGAATTGAGGACTGATGACCAAGTAGGTAGCAACATAGACTGCCCACTTGGCACCTTGCACTCAGCCAGGAAAGGACTGCTCATCTTAATCGGGACCTGGAGTTAATTTCATCTCCAAGAAAACATCATAACTAGACAGTTGAGGCTGCCAGCCTTGACTGTAAACCTCATTTGATACCATGACAGTCCCCTTAGCATGCAGCTTAGGGGTGGGGCTAATTGGGGTGCCCTCACCCACTTGGAAACGTGGAACCTATTTCCCCCAAAGTCACCAAACCCTGACCGGGCTAAAGAGAGAGCCACTCGCAGGAAGAGCTTTCCACTCTTAGACCAGCATGGCCCCAAGATCAGAGAGAACCATCTGAAGTTGAATTCCAAGTCACATGCTCTATGACTGTTGTTGACAGAGAAGGTAAGTGCAGGAAAAACTTGGTGTCCAAGCCAGGTCTTTAAATGGGTCCTGGGAGGAAGGGGAGGATGTGACCAAGGGAGGCGGTTTTAATCACAGCTGTGTAGGTGACCCTGACCTCACCCCACCCAAACCATCTTACTGCAGTCCTCACTGTATATCTTCCAGCCATCACAGTTACCCAGTATCTTAAAATAACATTTGTGATAAATGTGCAATTTAACTAATTTATGGTGCTATGATGTGCTCAGGGCTACATGCAAGATGAAAATCTTAAATGGAGCTTGAACAGCTCGCTTCACAACAAGAAATCAATATGCCACATCTTAGCTTCTTTGCTGCAGTCAACAGTTAGCAAAAATATCAGGGATGTATCTTTAAGTTTTAGGCAGCGAGAATTCTATAATTAAACAAAATCGTACATGTAAGATAGAGAAGGACCCCATCTCCCTAGTATCTCCCTTCTATTTTCGTTCTGCAAAAGGAAAAAGAAATAAACATATTGATAAGCACCCAAGAGCTCGTCTGAAGGTGCCCTGCCTTCAGATGGAGGTAAGCGTGTCCTGCGTTGTCTGCCTGGAGAGTTCATGGCTGTCACCTCTGCATCCCCAGAAAGATTCCTTCTTCCAGCTTCGTACCACTTAGGCTAGTGTACTTTTCTGTCCCTGCCACCTGCACTTATGCCACATGGTGAGAAAATGCATAAAGAGCAAAAGCTCCATCTTGAGAAAACAGTTCTGAAGATAGAAGAGTAGAGTTGTAGGGAGACCAGAGCAAGTAAGTCTGTAGTGCCCAAGTCCAGGCTTAAATCTACTGTTTGCAGAAATATCCAAGCCACCTAATAAAATTATTATTATTTTTTTAAATCAAATGACTTTTTTTTCAAATTCATCTGCACAGTTCTTTTGAAATTGGAAAGTGCTGTTTTATTGTGTTGACTAATAGGAAAATAATACACTTTGCATTATAGGAAGCAATCATAAAAATGAAAACAGGGAAACCCCAAACCCTCTCTTCAGTAATACATACTTTAACTTTAAAATAATAGCTATTATCCTTTTAGCTAATGGAGAAATTACCATTTATACTACTCCATATAGTTATTCTTTTGGTAATAGAAACACTAACCTCCTTTCTCCCTAGGGATTTTTTAGTAAGCACGTGTAATCTTTGGCAAAGGAAACCTGAAAACACATTTCCCTTGGGGCCTCATGCCAGTCGATGCCTTTCAGCCTGCAGCTGACCTCAGGAAGAAAAGTAGACAGCCTTCCACCCAATTCCAGGGTGTGCTGGCCTTTGCAGAACACGCAGTAGTTAGCTCCAGAATCACATTCATTTGGAGAAGGCTTCAGCTCTGTCTCTTAGCATCAAGCTACTGGGAAGAAAATCTCCTCTCTGACAGAACCTACTCCCCACGTGCGTGAGGCAGCTTTGTCACAGCCAAGCGCAGGGTTTCCAGTGTCAGTGCTGAGTGGCGATCAAACACAGGGTTTTGTTTGCAGGAAGGTTGGTTATCTTCCTCCCACTCCCTTGAGTTTCCATAAGACCGATTGAGAAGCTGTTTGCCCCAGAGATGCTGTTTTTCTGTCCCTAAGGGTTTGACAGGAGTCACCCTTCTGAGAATTTGAAAGCAAGCAGACCTTGCACCGGGTTGTCTTTGTTGGTCCCAAAAGCATCTGTCTTACAGTGCCTTAGAACTAGAGACCACACTCCGGCTCCACCAAGACAGAGAATGCCAAATTGTTGGCTTGCAGCCTGACAGCCCACAATGACTGGGATAATCCCAGACAGCCAAAGACTGGCACAGTCCGGTCAAAGCCCTAGACATCAGGCACAGGTTCAATCAAAGTTAGTGTTTCCTGCAAGCTGTGAGTTTGGGTATCCAGGGCCTTTCCCACCTCTGTTCCACGAAGCTAAGTGTTTTTAAAATTAAATTCCAATGATAGAAGATGCAAGAATCTGCTTCTCCTCCCCCCATACACACACCTTTGTATAATGTCATAGACTAATATATTCCTAATAAATCATTCTTGATGAAAACAATGATAAGCAAGGTGACCCACTTCCCAGAGATTAACATCCACAATTAGCAAGCTCAGGAAACAGTATCCACTCTTATTTTCCATCTCAGCTATGCTGTCAGTCCGCAAAACAGACATGAACTGTATGTGACCATCCAAATGTAAATGAAACAAAATTAAAAGGCCAGCTCTCAAGTTGTACTAGCCACCCCTAAAGTGCTGGGTAGTCATGTGTGTCCCAGTAACTAGTCTTTTTTGGGCATCACACCCATAGAACATTCTCCCTAGAAAGTTTCATTGCACAGCGTGGTTTGTACATTATTTACAAAGCATTTTTCTAAGGAAGGGCTCTCGCTCACGCCTTAATGATGAAAGTGTGTTTACAGTCCATGGGTATTTCTAGGAATTCTTCTTTTGCCCATATGAGTACAGGCTGCATTCTCACATACTAATATCCTTGATCAAAGTCAAGGACACACATAATTAACCTTGAGCATAAAATTATAAACAGAAGTGCAAGCATCAGTAGATGAAGTTGCTGATTCCCTACTGTGGATATTAGCTAGTCTCAAAACTCCAAAGCCCAAAGAGCTGGTGGTGGTGTCCATGACCTTGTTCTGCCCTTAGCTGGATGAGTCAGGCTGCCCCCTGGGCTTTTCTCTTTGCGTATATTGGCTCCATGGCTAGAGTGGGAGTCAGTCCCCTCTATGTGAGTCCTAGGAGTCCCCCCACCCCGTGACACCCCTGAAGACCCCAGCAGGTCTCTGTCTCTTCTTTTCTAGTCCCAGGCTATAGCAGGATAGCCACCCTGCTCTCCTTAAAATTAAAAAATACATAAATGGGACTTGATCACTTTGGGGGGGGTCACATTTTAAAAATTACTACATTTCAACATTTCACTTCCATTTTTTCCCCCACAGCAGAATTCCAGAGACACATTTATGGCCATCATAATTGTGAGTTAGAGATCTCTCAGGCCAAGTAAAATGAAATTACAAGAAACTGAA